GAGCAGGACCCTGGAGCTGGCCAGGCCCATGGCATTGGAATTTTGGTTCTGTCGATTTCTAGCTGTGAGATGCTGTGCAAAACACCCTGCCATGCCACAGCCTCTCATGCCTCCAAACCCTGATCCTCACTCTTCCCTCTGCCCAGACCCTCCTCTGGGCCCAGACCAGGCAACACCAACCATCACAGCTGTTGGGAAGGCAGTAGGTGCAGTGGGCACAGCCAGCTCTACAGCTGGCCAAAGCCCAAAGGCACAGCTTTTAACCTCTCACAGCAAGCTCCTCTGTCGAATGGTGTAACAGGACTTAGTTCGTGGGGTTTTAAAAGGATCAAATGAATTCCAAACACACGGAAAGACCCGTGACAGTGCCCATCACGAGTGAATGCCAAGAGTGTGCCCACATCAGTGGCGCTGCTGTTGGTGTGTCCACCGTAGGGAGAGCTGGGCACCTCATCTGCCAATAGGAACAATCACTGCTTGTAAGAATTATATGCAGGGAAACATGTAAAGTGTTAGCACAGACCTGGCAAGTAGTTGTTATTGTTATGATCCTTGAATGCCCCGTGCCCTGGAAGGAGTGCCCTGGGGCAGGCTGTAGACCAAGACATCACCTGAGCTGTCCAGTCCCTTTGTCTGCACTCACAGCCCCGGAGCGGGACCTCTGCTGGGAACCTCTGCTGTGACCGTGGCTGCCTTCCCGCCCCGACTCCCCAGCACCAGCCCCAGTTCCCAGCACCACCACCCACAACTCCACAGCTTTGGGGGAGCAGTTACATCACTGAAACATGGGGGGGCCGCACTTTCCGAAAACTCATTCTGCAAAAACCAAACATTAAGAAAAACTATGTAGCCGAAACCGGTTTGGCTCAGTGGATAGAGCGTCGGCTTGCGGACTGAAGGGTCCCAGGTTCGATTCCGGTCAGGGGCATGTACCTGGGTTGCGGGCACATCCCCAGTGGGAAAAAAAGAAAGAAAAACTATGTATAGTGTGCTAGCAACACAGTTTGTATCATAAAGTCAATTTCTTTAATGTAGCAATGAATAACCCAATCAATCCACTGGTCACTTTGGTTTCACGGGTCACTAACGACTCGCTTCACCCCATTAGAACAAAGGCCATCCCACCGAAAAGGATGGAAGGATGATAAAACAGCAGAGCGCACTGTGCAGCCCTAGTGAATGGCTGGGTCTAGGCTACCGACTTCACAAAAGCGAGCTGGGCAGAGGTGCGCCTCCCGAAGGAACAACCTGGTGCCACACGTGCATTCTGGCCGAAGAAAGAAGGAAAAACAAATCCTACATTTGATCGAACTGCTAATTTACTTAACTGATAGAGACTCCAAAGAACAGAAGACAATATTGAACTATACCAAGTGGACACCATCAGCAAAAATCCCAACTGTGGAAACTCTACAGGACTTGTGACCCAGTTTCCTCCAACAAATAGCAAGAGAGAAATAAAGATGGAGAGGAAATCTTACCGATGGAAGAGATTTAATGACTTACCCATCAATTGCGAGGTGTGGGCCTGACCTGGGTACTGAACACAACAAATGGGAAATAAAGGTATTTATAATATTTGTGAGACAATATATTTGAACACTGGCTGAATATTTGATGATATTAAAAATGTTGAATGCTAACCAAGAGTTCTTCTCTTTTAAACTGAGAAAAATATTGAAATATTTATGGCTGCATTCATATTCCACATGGTACATGCTTTAAAATCATATAGAAGGAGGGAGGTGGGTGGGGATGTGGATGGGCCAGCTTGACCAGGGTCGGGGTTCTGGGTGCATGGGGTCCATTGTACTGTCCTAATCTCCTTCTCTCGGTGTCCCAAACTCTCCATATGAAAAGTTCATAAAGAAAAGCAGCTCATAAACATTCAGTATGCCTGTCTTCTCCCTCCCCAGGACCAGCATGTCGGATGAGTCATTCCTGGTTCTGGCATGCTCTCCGAGTCTTCCATTTAGGAAAGGGGCAAGTCTAGTCTCCTGGGTCAAGAAGTGATCCAGGGCCTGGCAATATTGGAGAATAAAACGTTGGACAGGTGAATTCTCGGATCCACAAGAAAATCTAATCTTAGACTGAAGGTAGGTTAACTGGAAGTGATTCACATTTCAAAAGATTTGGTTTAAATATAGCAAACATTGCCCTAGCCGGTTTGGTCCACTGGATAAACCATCAGCCTGTGGACCAAAGGGTCCTGGGTTCGGCTCCGGTCAAGGGCATGTACCTCGGGTGCAGGCTCCTCCCCGGCCCAGGCCCTGGTTGGGCTCATGCAGGAGGCAACCAATCGATCTGTTTCTCTCACATCTATATGTCGCTGTCTTTCCCTCTCTCTTCCACTCTCTCTAAAATCAATGGAAAATATCCTCAGGTGAGGATTAACAACAAAAATAAACAAATATAGAAAACATTTGTGAGAATATGGCTTGATTTACAACAGTTGGCAATTCCATACGATTATTTCTAATGCACTAGCCAGGTGATGTTTGCTGACTGGTCCCGAAAAATTTAGCAGCTGTTCACCTGGTAACTGCATGGGAGAAACCTCAAAGGCACCCCAACACTGAGAACACAAGTAACTAAGAGCTCCCACCTGCCCTCTTAGCTTGTTTCCAATTCACCACCTGTCCAGCCTCCCCTTGCCCATTGGTCAGTGCCGCCCAGAGCAGATCCCAGTGACTGGTTCCCAGGGACCTCTCTGCCACTGTGAGAGACAGAGCGGCCGTGTGGAATTTCCTCTGTGGACTCCCTCAGCCTCGTTGCCCGATCCGGGCAGCAGGGCAGCCTCCTGGGTCTGCAGCTCCCACCGGCAGAAATGCGCCCAGAGAAGGCTTGTCCAGGGCCCTGGGGGCCACCCACCCATGCAACTGGATACATACACTTTGTAAGCACTGGTTTCCAACAGATAAGTGTAATCAAGGTTTATATGCTCAGAGAAGCCAACAGGATGGGATTGTTTCACTTGAAAGATCAGAAGAAAATTGTAACTAATGTTGTGGAAAATTACTTTGATATTGCTTTCTTGGTACCGAATCACAATTAGGCTGCTGTGAGAAGTACAGGGAAAGAATAAATGAATAGTAACAAATCAGCACAAACAGCCTGTGTCAGGAACACTTTGCCCAGGGAAAGTAATGTAAGCATTATTTAAAGTTTTACGACTGTGTTTGATGTGCTTTACGTAGAGTGTCAAGGCTGTCCGTCATCTGGCACGTGGCAAGGGGGGGTTCAGTTCCATTTACAGACAGAAGAACACGGCTCAGGACCCAAGAGTGCTCTTTGCCTGCATCTGCCAGGCCCACGGGGTCCATGGCTACAGCTTCCTTCCATCTTTCACACCCAGCTAGCCTGAGCCTTCCCCACACCCCACTCACCACTTCACCCTAGAAATCCCAGCCACCACAGCCAACTCCACCCAGGAATGTAGTGCCTGACCCTAGCGTGTACCACGGATGGGTGCATGGCACTGTCCCAGCTGGACACCAGCCATGAGGACCCTCTGCCTGTATGTGCACACCTCCCCCTCCCCCAACACACACACGCATCAAGGATGTGCGGTGCTTCACCCCAGGCTGTGTTGGGGGCCTCTCCACAGCTCACTTCCTCCCAGATAATACACCCCGCGGGGCCAACTCTGTCCGTCCTGATGGCGTGGGGCCCGATGTGGCTGACAGAGTCGCTACCCCACAAGGCTGCAAAGTCCCCATAGAGGAGCCAGCTTGGTCACATGTCCTTGCTGGGGAGCAGCCAGACTCACTTGTGACAGCCACCATCTGTGAGGGTCCAGCCAGGCGTGAGTCAGCACAGTGACTGGCTGCCATCTCCCGGGACACCCAGTCTTGGCTGCCTCTCGCTCACTCTCTGTGATGAGAGAATCAACTCATAGGCACTCCCTGCCAGGGCCTCTGGTAGCAGCTGCCAAGCCCAGGGCCCTAACTCTGACCTGCTCATGCTCCTCTTGCCTTCCCACCTACTGCCTACAGGCCCACACTACCCTGAGAGTGTGAGCCAGCTGGGCTGAGGGTGGCTGGGGAGGAGGCTGCCCACCTAAGGGCCAGGTGCCCCCAGGCCGTGCTCCGCCCTCCTGTGCTGTGTGCTGCTGGTAGGGATGGAGCAGGGACCTTCTGCCTGAGCCCCCAGCCTCCACTCCTCCTCTGTGTTGCCCGTGTTCCAGAGCACACCGCCCATAGGTGTCTTCATGGCCCTCCCCCAGTAAGGCCCAGGACCACTGCTAAGAGATGCCAGTGCTCCGGGCCTGGCAGCGGTGCTTTCCTCTCATTCCAAAGCAGAGCGACCCTGGCCTTGGCCCTGTGCCTGCTGCCCTCCGACCCTGCCGTGTTCTCTGGGGCAGGGGCTGTGTCCCACAGGCAGGAAACTTGCCTGAGCTCCTCTCTCCACATCCCATCTGCCCAAGGCTCCAGAACCATGTGACCTGCTCTTCCCTTACTGTCCCCAGCGGACCCTCGCTAGTCAGTGAGGGTTTGCCCCTACAGTGGGTCACCAGGGACAGGTGGGATAGAAGGCAGGAGATGGGACACCAGCAGGAGCAGTCTCAGCCTCAGAAAGCCAGGAGGTACCCTATCCCTCTGCCCAGGCCAGAGGGGCTAGAAGATTCAAGGGATCCCAGGGTTGGGCAAAGAGAGTCCCATTTGGGCGCATGAGTTCAAGAGAAATCGTGCACCCTCTGATGTCCCAGATCCTGGGAGAGGTCCTGAGAGGTGGCAGAATCCTCCTTAAATCTGAGTTTCACCAAAGGCAACAACCAGCTGAGAGATGGTCAGCCTGACCATCATTCCCAAAAGGAGTGCAGAGGCCAAAGGTCAGAGGTCAGAAGCCAGAGCCCTAAGGCTAGTAGTCTAACATCAGACAAAGTGTTCCCACGTTGAGGCTGATGCCCGCCAGGAGGAGGCTAGGGGGTCTCAGCACAGATCTGGCACCAGGGCAGCCTTGGAGGGCAAGCGGGCGGCGGGGCCAATGCGAGGGCTCACCTGGCACCTGCTGGGGGGTGAGCTCCGTGGAGTCCTGCAGGCTGATGAAGAGGAGGAGGCCCGCGGCTCCGAACAGCAGGATGGATGAAAACATGCAGGCCAGCCGCATCGTCCCGGCACGTAGGGTCATCTGGGCCTTGCTCTGGGGTCACCTCTTGGGTGTGGGAGGCGAGTTCTTCCCTCATTGTCTACACCAGGTGTCCATCAGGCCACAGTCTACAGGGCAGAAGGGGAGAAAGATGGTCCATCACCGTGGCACAGGGCCTCCTGGGCAGCTGAGGCCCCAGTCACTGCACGTGACCGAGTGTAATCCCTGAAGCCTCCAGCCCTTCGGAACTCAGGTGAGTCCCTTCCACCTCGCAAGCCAAGGAGGTCCAGTGACCACCTGCAGCTGGGACAGCAGCTCCTCTCCAGGGCCTCCTGTATTGGCACCCCCAGAAAAACCATGGAGAGAAACACTCTGGCCTCCACCTGGGACAGCCCAGAGTAAGGCCCCAAGACCCAGAGCCAGGCACGTGGCCACCCACTTACACTGTCCAGACTCTCTGAGCCTCTAAACAAGCACACTTGCATGCCATGGTGAGTTCTAGATACAGGTAGGAATCCAGGTCCTTGTCCCTTGCAACTGACCCGGTGGACAGTGAAGGCCTCAGTCTCCTCTGCCCTGGCCCCTCTCTATGAGATATTCGGGACAGGTGTCCACAGGGCAGGAGGCTTTGAGAAGGGGCCTCCCAGGCCCAGAGGATGTCAGGGAAAGACTGACGCCCCCACCTGGCCATTCACCATCAGCCAGAGCTGCTCTCCTGACAGACTTGCTGGATGGGCTGGTGGGACTGTGGACAGTCACACTAGTGGAGCTGAAGCTCTGGCCAGATCGTGGTTGTCTCTGATCTTGAGGCCCTCAGGCCTGGGCCAGGGCAGCCAGACCCGAGTCTGACTGACCCCTGGCTCAGAGGCTGGGCCACTGCCGACGCAGAACCTGCATGTAACTTGCCCCTGACCTCGGTTCCTCCTGAAAGGGAAGAAATTCAGTACCAACCAGTGACCCCAGTTGGGCCAGGCTATGGGTCAACGACGAGGCAACCCAAGGCCATCTGCCTAAAGGAAGGTTGCCAGTTCCCGCAGTGGGGCAGTGTGGGTGCTGAAGAAGAGTCCGCACAGGAGGCTGTGCCAGACGGACAGGTATCCCAGGACCTCCCCTTTGAAAGAGAGTCACTCTGTCCCCCAACTTTCTCCAGTTCTTACCAGCCTGGGCCCAGGGACACCACTCTCTGACCACCCAAGGAGCCCTGGCTTCCCTCATCCTGGGACAGGGCAGTGCCTGAGGGGGGCTGAGCCAGGTGGGCAGTTCCCCGTGGCCTCGGAGACCACAGGTGAGTGGCTGGTTGGGCCCCAGACCAGACGTGGCTCAGCACAAGGACCTTCCCCTGCTCGGGGCAGGAAACCCATTCCTGACTGGACACCAAGGCACTCCGGCAGGAAGTCCCAGCTATTGTCCCCTCTGCATCCAGCGTGGGCATGACAGGAAATGATAAGAAAGAAGCCCCCCCTTCCCCTGCCCAGACCAGAAAGGCCTGGACTGTTCTGAGAAAGCTCTGGGGCTGAGGAGTGTTAAATTGCAGGTTTGGGTTTCTCCACACTGCAGTCTCTGTAATTATTTTTTCACTCAGTTAACTTTAATTAACCTGCCCCAGGCCTCTACGCAGGAGGAACGCGCTGGATCTTGGGTTCTCTGGGCTGTGCTGAGCCGGTGGTTCCCACGACCTCCCAGCTTTTATGTTTGGAGGAAGCGTAAAGCTCTGCTCTGTTTCTGGCTCTGGCTCTGGGGGTTCAGGCTGGCCCCAACCTCAGGGGAAGACTGCTGCTTCCTGCCTTCCCCGGGGACACCCTGCCCCAGGCTTGCAGTGGGTGAAAATGGGCAGCCACAGCCCCTGTCCCCAAGGCTTAGACCCTACGGTCCTTCATGTGGGGCCATGCCTCCCCCTCCGTGGCTGCCCTCGGTCTGACTGTCCTGGGGACCAGGGCAGACCCCAGGCTGTGTTGAAGAACAAGGTCACTCTCAGTGCTGCCCACAGCATCCTCACGCCCTGCTACTCCCAGGCACTGCTTGCAGGGCCCACTGGGGCCAGCCCTGAGGTCCAGGGGAAGTGTGAGCCATGGATGGGGGAGGTGGAGCTATTTTCTCCCACCCTCGCTCTGCTCCTTACCTCCAGCAGTTGGATTAAACCTTGAAATTGCCAGGCATCACAGAAAAGAGTTGAAAGAGTGGGGATGCAGTGGAAACAGGACACATGCACTAACACGTATACACACACACCTGCACGCACACTGGCAGGCACCTGTACATCCACACCACTGACGGTCCCCAGCAAGAACCCAGCTGTGAGGAAATGGCCACAAAGCCCTGGATGCTGGTCATGGTGTTGGCACGCATTCTGCGGCCACACGGGCCTCCTGAGTCTGACACGAGGCCAGGAGGGCAATCTGACCTAGGGTGACCTCTGACATCAGGGCATTTTGTAAGGAAGGAGAGAGAAGGACAAAGAAAAGGGGGAAGAAAGGATGGCAAGTTTATGGCTAAATGTCCTTGGAAAATAACTGATAAAGTGCCACCCAACCTCAGCCCAAACACTCCGTTTGATGAAAAAGGGGGACTCGGACGCCCCAGTGACCATCCTCGCATTGTTTGGACAGTAGCTGGTGCTGTAGAAGTGACTGCAGAAGAACTGGCCGGTCCCCTCTTCTCTGCAATCTGCCACATTGACTTCCCCTGAACTGCAGCCATGACCCACCCTCATTTGTTTCTGAACTTGCCCAAATCAGCCCACCATATGCAGCTGGGCTCTGGCAGCCCATGAGCCTGGGAGCCTGGATGAGGACCACATCCCAGCCCCCAAATCTGGGGAGAGGAGGACGAAGCCTCAGCATCTGCGCCTTCACTGTGGCAAGAGCATCAAGCACTCAGATTTCTCTTTTCAGAGACCCTTCCCTTTGTTGGTTCCTGAGAGACTACAGGCACCTTCTCCATGCCCAGGGAGGGAGTTAGAGCCGAGCATGGCTTCCCCTGCCCAGCCCCTAAGCACCAGACCCTCCTGTCAGCGTTTGCTCTCCCTGGAGACCATCTGACCAGCTAACTCCCTGCTCCATGCAAACGGGAACCAAAAGGTTAGCATGTCTCCCCTCCCAGTTGACTGGTCAAAGTCTGCTGGATCTCAATGCCCCCAGGAGGGGGCCAACATCACAGAATCAGTAAGATTCTTTCTTTAAAGGTGAGGGGTAGATGGGAGGCCATCATCACACCACCAGACATCCAGAGAGTATGCACAACTGGTCTCCTATTGTTCCCCTAAGGGCCCTGGTCTTCAAAGTCACAGGTTATTCTCAAGGCAACAGGGAGATGCCGGTCAAAGGCTGTTTGTCTCCTCCTGGAGGTTGAGCCGCTGCCTGGGTTGTGGAGGCGAGGATCTGTCACAGGCATGGCCAAGCTGCCCAGGCCCCATAAACACGTTCGCAGGCCCACCTGGGCCTGCGGCCTCCTCACCATGCACTGCATCAGCCTCAGTTCCGACGACAAATGGAAAACCCTCCTCTATCTCCCTGCCTCCCTTCCACCACCACCAGACAATAAGAAAACTCAAATAACTGGGGGCAGAGTGGGGAGGAGTAAGGCAAGGAAAATAAACAGCCCACTGAGCTTCCAGAAGGTCCTGCCCTCATCACAATTCCTAGAACTCCCAGCGGCTTCTCTTCCTGACACCTGAATGGCGTCACCGATTTTTACTGTAAGAAAAAAAAAACCCAATTAATCTTGTAAACACCTCCTGGGACACAGGGCAGGGCCAAGGATTCCTCCCATTTCCTTATTTATCTGATTTTAAAATTGTCTCTGCAAAAAATTCACTTCAGGGCACAAGCAAGAACTTGGGAATTCAGCCAAAAAAAGAAACAAACACGCACCTCCAGTGGCGATGGCCCGGCAGGCGATGAACGGACGGCTCCAAGGACACACTTGACTGCGGCTGCTACAAGGCCTAGATGCCTCCCCCAGCCCCCCAGAGGACCACTTCTGGCCGTGGGGACCCACACCACACCCCAGTGGAAGCAGCAGGAGGCACCCGAGCACATGCCCATGGGTGCACCCACTTGGTGTGCGGACCCTGGGCTGGGAAAGTTCTCTGTCCAGTCGGTGTCCTCCTCGAACAGGCAGGAGCGAACAATGACGTCCCTCCCTCCCAGCTGAGGGCTCCAGGAGAAGCTCTCATTGAGAGAGAGAGGCTGCTATGGCAACTTGAGGAGAATGGAGCCAGGCACTGCCGTCACCTTGAATCCGGCACCAAGCATTAGCGGCTGAGGGGCCAACCTTGGCTCTGCCCCTGCCAGGCGCCGGTCGGGGCGACACTGGGACTGACCTCTGCTTCCCTCCTCAGCCTTCTGGCCTCAGAAACTCATTTGCTGCTTGCTGAAAAGGAGCACACAGCCCAGTCCCCTGAGAGCACCACCTCCATCTGTTTCGTCAGACAAGTTCTTCCATGTGTGCAGCTCCGGCTTTACTTCTGAGATGGGGTTCTTCTTGATTTCAGATCATTAAAATCCTGAGCTAATTAAAACCGCTCTAATGGCAGCGGCGCCCGGCAGCAAACTCCAGGACGAATCCCTCCAGTTTTTATGCATAGGCATAAAGTTGCAAGGCTCTGCGAAGATGACTAATGGCTGGGGCTCTAGGATGGGGTTGCAGGCTAGAAATAGCTCCTGCCCTTCCGGTGAAGTGGGGCACAGAGCGGGGCGCTGACCAGGGTCCTGAAATACCCAAGACCCAGCCCAGTCAGATGCCTCTTAGGGCAGGAAATACGCCAGCCATCCACCTCCCTGTTACAAGGCAAGGGATTACCTTCAATCCCTGCTTCCTGCAGTGGGGAGAAGGGAGTCCTAGGCAGAGGCAGAGGTGTAAACCAGGCCCAAACAGCCCCAAAGTCTTGTCCCACGTCCCAGCTTCCCACAGTTGCTTATACAAAGAGGCTGAGGGGAAGCCTGAAAACACACAGCTGTGTCAAGGGGGTTCCTGAGACTCTGCCAAGGTGCCACAGGCTGCAAGGCCCTTGACAGCTGTCGGGGGGTAGAAACACACCATAAATACCACCTCTGCCCAGGACTTCTTACATTTTCAGGGCATTTTATGCCAATGGGGCAGGGTAGGGGATAGTAAATTCTGCAGGTAGAGAAACCGAATCCCTCCCCACCCCCACCCTGCAAAGTCTGGAATGGTCAGTGCCCCAAATTATGTCCCTCAATGACAGCCCTTCCCTCATAGCATGGAGAGTGTTTACCCGCTTGTCTCAGAGCCTGGGGAGCAGCGTTGGGGGCTCCCCTCATGTTTGCATTCCCAGCATCGCTACACAGTGCCTGGCACGGGAAGGTGATCAATAACCTCTGCTGCATGCTGAGCGAGCATGAGTTAATAGATGGAGGCGTTTGGGCCATGTGGAGAGAGGGACTCCATGGACCTGGAATTTTAAAAAGGTCATTTATGTTTCAGGGAGCTGTGGGTTTGTTTTTATCAGGTCTGGGTTAGAATCAAGTCTGAACTGTAGCTCAATCTTATGAGAGAAGACCAGGCAAGAAAGTGAGCTCCACGAGGGAGCCCAACAGAACCTGACAGCTCCGAAATACTGAATGCACACTCCCTGCGAAGGCAGCACTGTGTGCCCTCACGGGGCTTCAAGACTAATTAATATACTTGCAGGGGAAAATGTCGACTATACATACATGTACATTGACATATGTGATATATGCACAAACAAATACGCAAGACATTTAAATGTCATAATATGGATTATCCCTAAATGTACAGTGTTATGTTGGGAAATACCCAAACAAAATTACAGTTTGAATATATTAACCAAAAATCAATGAGAGCAACACATGCATGCTTTGAGGATATTATGCTGTGTGAAACTAGCCAGTCACAATACTGTATGACTCCATGTGGTCAAATTCAGAGACAGAAAATAGAATAGTGGTAACCAAAGGCTTCAGGGGAGGGAGGAATGGACAATTATTAATTAACTAGAGGCCCGGTGCACAAAAATTTGTGCATGGGGGTGGGGCGAGGGTGTCCCTCAGCCTGGCCTGTGCCCTCTCGCAGTCTGGGACCCCTTGGGGGATGACCACCTGCTGGTTTAGGCCCGCTCCCCAGGGGATTGGGCCTAAGCTGGCAACCAGACATCCCTCTGGCAGCCCGGGAGTCCTCGGGGGATGTCCTTTTAGGGTGGGGGTCCCCACCGGGGTGCCTCGCCAGTCTGGGTGAAGGGCCGAGGGCCGTTTTCAGGCTGGCCAAGCCTCCTCAGCGACAGAAGCTCCCAGCCTATCCTTTTTTGTTTTTTTCTGGGATTTATTTACCTTCTATAATTGAAACTTTGTAGCCTGGAGTGGAGCTCAGAGCCAGCCAGGGCTTGGCTTCCTCCATCGCCAGAGGCAACCCAAGGCTCCAGCTCCATGGCCACAACCGACTGAAAGCAGGTATCTGGGGTTTATTTACCTTCTATAATTGAAACTTTGTTGCTTTGAGTGTAGCTTAGAGCCAGACGTGGCAGGCAGAGAACCTTGGCTTCCTCCATCACTGGAGCAAGCAAGCCTCCTGCTCGTTCCAGCTCCCTGGCTGCCGGCTGC